AACTCGTGGCTTCACATTGTACTATCTGCCAGAGATGATAAGAGACCGCATGTAAGTCGTGCGTGTGTTGACATGTCAGCATTGGATAACAAGACAAGGTACTCGAGTCGACAAGAATAACGACCGTCGTACTTTGAACGACGTGTCAGCTCCAATTGCGTTTGACGTATCTTTTTTCTCTGAGGTGTCAGAGCTCCGATTCTGTCTGAAATGTTCGGTCCCCTCCTCTGACGTGTGAGCCCCAATCCTCCGAAACTTGTGATTCAATGCTCTCCCCTATCGCACACCGCAGCACGTCTCTCTCTCTCTCTCTCTCTCTCTCTCTCTCTCTCTCTCTCTCTCTCTCTCTCTCTCTCTCTCTCTGTGTCTCTGTGTATGTGTGTGTGTCCGGCCCCATCCTCTGACGTGTAAAGGCCCAATGCTCCCAAACAACTTGTGATTCCATGCTCTCCCCTATCGCACACCGCAGCACGGCTCTCTCTCTCTCTCTCTCTCTCTCTCTCTCTCTCTCTCTCTCTCTGTGTGTGTGTGTGTGTGTGCGTGTGTGTGCGCGCGCGCGTGGGTGAAGGCATAGAGAAAAACGGAGGAGGAGAGAAGGAATCGAACTAATAGGGAACAGGAGAGAAAGGCAAATAAAAGTGAAACAGAGAATCAAAGAGTGGAAACCACCGAGAAGGGAAGCAGGGGAGAAGCGATAGAGTAAGGGTAAAAGGGGAGAAAGGAAAGAACAAAAGAACGTGAAGAGTCAATGACAGACAGATAGGATGAAATTGAAGGTCAAAGAGAGAGAGGGAGCGAGGAAACCACGCACACCTACTCCGGGGCGTCATGCCGTCAGCAAACTCTGCAAACGCGTTGACGGAATTTAAAATCCCCTTTGTAGACGCACATGGTTTCTCGTTTCTTTGATGGACATCGGCACACTTCATCCGTTGACACTGATATGAAGTTTGATGGGTGCGGCCCTCTCCCTTCATCGGACAACAATTTAAACGGTTTATATACCTTTTCCCCCTCACCTGATCTCCTCCCCAATCTCGCTTCTTCCTTCTTGCTTTTACATGTGACGAGTAAAGAGAATAAGCCGTACACAGAGCCTGTGTCGTATTAGATACAGGTACCAGCGCCGACTTAGCGGTGCGCAAGATTGGCAGTTCATAATAGACATGGGCACGGACGAGCGAGCGTGCATACAAACATATGTACACATATATATTGTCACACTATATACTATATGTTGTCACACTATATATCATCACATAAATATCAGAGCGCAAAAGCGAAAAAAACAAAGGAAAACAAAAAAGATATCAGTTCACTTTTTATCTTCTTCCTTACAACTCCCCCTGTTCAGAACCTCTTGCGTACAAGGCCGCCCACGTGGATGTAGGTTGAGCGGCGGCTGCCCCCACCCCCATGTGTCATATCGACCCACTTGCACACAGCCAGAAGGCAAAGAGGCAAAGAAAAGAGGAAGGGAACAGCCAAATAATACAGAACAGGGGGCAACAAAACAAATCCCAGATGACAAGTCCCACATATAAGGACCGCCCCAACTCACAGGCGAAACGACGGGACGAGACCAACCAGGATATCAACACATTCTTGTCTGCAAAGAAAGCAAAAAGAAAGGCTCCGATCCCAGTGTGACAACCCAAGAGAAAGAGAAGACAATCCCGGATGACGATTCCCACATACCGCCCCGCGCTCAAAAGGCCGAACAACGGGAAACAACCAACCAGGATGCCCAATAACAGAATCAAAGCAGACAAAACTCACAAAACAAACATTCGACCATATCCATAGTAAAAAAACCGAAACATTCAGTAGGCCCGCAAAACGCAACACCCCAATCAATAGGGAAGATTAAAGAGAAGATTAACAAATTAAAAAATATTCTCTTCCATAAGAAAAGACAAAGCCTGCTAGTACAGGCCCGACGCTCGCCGCATCATCAGCAAAAGCAGAGAGCTAGCAACGTCGGAGTACATATCATCACGTAAATATCAGAGCGCCAAAGCGAAAAAAACAAAGGAAAACATTACATATTACACATTGTCACACTGTGAATCAGAGCGCGAAGGCGAAAAAAAGCAAAACAAGGAAAGAAAAAGAAGGACGGAAAGCCCCACCTGTTCATCACCTCTTACGTACAAGGCCAGCCACGTGGATGACAGGTTGAGCGCTGGCTGCCCCCATCCCCGTGTGTCACAAGGACCCACTTGCACACAGCCAAAAGGCAAAGAGGTAATTGTCACAGCCCCTCGTTTGTTGTCCTCTTCTCCCTCTCTGTTTGACGGTATATATATCGTCACAAAGATATCAGAGCGCAAAAGCGTAAAAAGCAAGAAAATATCAATTCACTTTTTATCTTCTTACTTACAACTCCCCCTATAGCGCTACACACAAATTTATACTCGACTACTAAATTACATACATGTAGACATATATTCCAGAGAGCTGCAACTACACGAGCGAAAGGGAAGGGATGCGCACCCTTAACCTATAGTTTTGGAGCTAGATGCTCGTCGCAATCGAGAGCGCGACCCATGTTTTCACATATGTGGGCACGAGTTCTCCACAGATATGCATAAACATCGATCAGTTCGCAGAGCACGAATGGAGGGCACATTCCCGTATTCAGGGAAGCACATACATCCACGAACACAGTACGTGTTTAACCAATCACTTGACGAAAACATACACACCCCATTTGCCGACCTACATAGATAGATAAATAGAATGGCAATACACTGTATAGACCAGGGAGATTCACAAGTACCAAACACACATGTACCGACAGCATGCATCGCGGCATTGGGGTGACTATTACCCGTATACAGTACTCACACATATATATCGTCACAGAGATATCAGAGCGCAAAAGCGAAAAAGACAGAAGGAAAACAAGAAAAAAATCAGTTCGTTTTTAATACAACTCCCCCTGTTCAGAACCTCTTGCGTACAAGGCCGCCCACGTGGATGTGGGTTGAGCGGCGGCTGCCCCTACCCCGCACTGAATCGGAGCGCAAAGGCAGAAACAGAAAAAGGAAAGAAGGAAAGCTCCGCTTGTTCATCACCTCTTACGTACAAGGCCAGCCACGTGGATTATATATATACATTGACCTTACGATAGACACTCCTATTAAGTAGAAAACTTAAATGAACTACATGCACACATCTACATGTGTACACACGTTACTTGCACTCTTCAGAGATAAAAACCTTAGCTCCTTAGCTCCTTAGAGGATGCACGTATCCTTCTGACTGATTAACGCGGAATCAAACTGAACCGTACGATGAACGACGAAGCACACTGGACCGTACGATGATTCAAGAGGAATCAAACTGGGCCGTACACTTAACGAGGAAGAAGGGTGATTCCATGCACAACCGTCCGACATCGATGCCCCTGTGACTAGTCACACCTGCATCAACGACGGACAATCCTTTGCTTGGACGAAACTGGACCGTATACCATGGGCAGTCCTCCCGAGCAATACCGAAGGGCAGTCTTGGACGTGGCTGCTCTCTTGAACACACCTGCATCAACGGCGGACATTCCTTTAACGGAAGAAACCCTACGAACTTTTTTTCGTCGCGAAGAGAACACGACACTTTTCGAACAGAGGTCCTTCAGAATATGACTGGCACACTCTCCTCCTCAACGGCATGGGAAAGCCAATGGAGGTTGTGGTCCGCTGGATCTCGATTTTCGAAAGTCGCACGGCAGAAAGCATACATGATGGTTACATGCGTGATTTCTAACGACGGACACAACCTTAGAGAGAGAGACAGAGAGACAAAGAGAGAGAACATGGGAAACAGTGGGAGAGCAGTGATATCCATGGTCCCAAACAAACGAAGGTAAGAACAAACGAAAGAGAACAGGTTCTTGTTTTGTTTTTTCTTGATCTCGGTGGGGAAGGCAGGGTGACTAAATACTACTGATCCTCTAGTTTTCACAAGCAGCAATTATACACACAGCTACTCCAGACGTATATAATGTAGCAAGCAACTCCTGCCGCTATCCTCGTGTGCGTACGCAGTTCGTTCATTTCTACCGCCACAAAACTCACGTCTTACAAGGCTTCCCGCCGCCGACAAAGGCACTCGCCCAGACTTCTTCCCTCTCCTCCCACCCCTCTTTCGACCTAGAAAGCTCAGCTGAAAAATCCTTGGCTGTACACGTATGACAGATCAGCACATGCCTCTCTCTCTCTCTCTCTCTCTCTCTCTCTCTCTCTCTCTCTCTCTCTCTCTCTCTCTCTCACACACACACACACACACACACACACACACATACACACACACAMACACACACAAACACTCACATAGACACACAGCGAGATGTCATTAATTCCACCATCGACTTCTGCGGTAAATTCCATTACCAGAAGATGTAGGGATGTAGCTGGTAAGCGCGAAAGGAACCCTCTCTCGCCCTCTCCTCTCTCTCATCGCCGCCCCGTCGCTTCATCCACTCGTCCCCCTCTTTGAAGTCCCTCGAATAAATCCCTCTCCCGCACAAGAGGAAGCAAAAGGTGGGCCTAAAGGTTCACGTGATATGTCTTCGCCCGAATAGAACGCCCGGTCATTATCGCTGCACCTGGACTGAGAGTGGCCTCAAAGTACAGCTATGATGACCTGGCGCTTCGTTCGGGTGGGCGGTAGAGGGAACACGCGTAGAAGGAGTAATGCCTTTTCTGCGAGGGAAGTGAGAACAGGGATCAGCGAATGAGGGAAAGGAGGTGTCGAGAAAGAGGAGAGGGCGGATAGATCGGGACAACAGGCCGGCGATCGAGGGCAATTCAAAAAACGACATCTCCCTCATGCTTGCATGATTCAATATAATATTCACTGAGAGAAGAAAAGCGTGGTGAACACGACAGAACAAATGGGTGACACGAACATACTAGTAAGAGAAAAAATGTGCATGACACACGGACGCACGCGCGCACATATAACATGCAGATGGATCTTATTCTCGAAAAGGATACTATACGCAGACAGAAGATGATCGTCCTTCAGAACCTTCCCGCGGCATATGAGCCGTTGATTCTCCACCGGCGTTCCCGTCTCTTGGGCCACGCGCTCTTTCAATTCCAGCACAGGTATCTGCAGAGTTGAATGGACACGCGCATATGTATAGATATGTATACTTCACACTCGCACTCGTTCATTCATTCAGTCAGTCAGTCACTCACTTGTCATTCGCTCGTTTGTTCATTCGTTCATCCATCTCTTTCTGTTCCTAAATTTGTTCGTTGGCCCCTTTGTTCTCGCGCTGATCATCACACGCGCGCTCACGCTGAAAGGAAGGAAACAAATGAAGGCCATTCATGCGAAGGACGGACACACCGCAGCAGGAACTCACTTGGACACCGAGAAAGCATCATCGACGACAAGCCAACAAAACACAATCAACATCACTTGAAGTACCGTACAAAGCGATAGGGATGATCGAGGACAACCAGACAGAAAGAAAGAGGCGGGAAAAAAAGAGCACATGACGAGAAAGGGAGTGAGAAAGTCAAGGGGCAGGGCAAAGAAAGGATACAGAAGAAGAAGAAAAAGGGGAAAGGAAAAGAGAAGCGAAGAGGAGGGAAGCGAAGAGACGGACAGAAGGAGAGAGAAGGAGAGAGAAGGAGAGAGAAGGAGAGAGAAGGAGAGCAAGGATAGAAGCGAAGAGACGGACAGAAGGAGAGAGAAGGAGAGCAAGAAGGAGAGAGAAGGACGGAGAGGGAGAGAAGAAGAGAGGAGAGAAAGGAGGAAGAGGAGGAAGAGAGGAAGAGGAGGAAGAGGAGGAAGAGGAGGAAGGCAAGTAGAGAGAAGGGAAGAGAAGAAGAGAAAGAGAGAGGAGAGAAAGAGAGAAGCAGAGAGAGAAGGAGAGAGCGAAGAAGGCATTCGTCTCTTCTGCTACCCACCGAAAAGCCTCAATGTCTCAATAATTCAGTCTGCCGCGCTTTGGTCGCAACGACCTCCGCTACAAGCGGCGGCATACGCAGCGTAAGCATCACGTCAAAGGAGGCTACATAGATTCTCCGCAGCGGCTGGCGGGTCACAGACGTCTCGTCAGTGAGAGCCGCCGGGCGGAGCTGCGAGCGTCAAGGGAGAAGAGAAGGGATCAGGGAGCATAAGGGAGAGAGAGGGAAGAATGAGGGCGGCAGGGGAATTTGGGGTGAGAGAGCAGACGGGCTTAAGTACATACGCAGCCATGCACTTACATCTTTGTGGACGCGTAACGTAAAGGGATTGGAGTCAAGAGTCTTGATCCGGATCTCGACTGTCCTATCCTGCTCTTTCTTTCCCCCTCCCTCTCCCGCAAGTCCACTACCATTGCTCGTCGATGCTCCAGCGTCTCCCTCTCCTAGACCATGGCCGCTTGCACTTGCATCCATCTCCGCGATATGATATGAATCCGCCAAAACACCACTCCGCCTAATTCAACTGAAGCTGTCAATCAACCCTGTGCGTCACCCCGCCCAATATTTTCACCAAACACCCGACACCCCCTGCTCAATCCCTTCCCTTTCCCCCCTCCCCACCAACCACCTCCAAGTCAGGTCCCTCCCTCCCTCAGCTTGCCCTGCCTTGCCTTGCCTTGTACCTTTGCTCTGATTGGCTTCGCGTTACTGAGTCCTCTTGTGTTTTACTTTCGCTTTGCTTTCTTTGTTACGCTCTGCCTTTGCCTGCTCTGCCTTTGCCTCCTTTGGCTTCGCTTGCCTTGTTTGACTTGGCCTTTACCTCCTTTGGCTTTGGCCCCCTGTCCGTCTCCCGCTCCTTTTCAACCACCCACCTCCCCCCGCCTCTCTCTCTTCAAGTTCCCGCCAGCGCAATTGCTGCGATTATAACGCAACTGAAGCTTCCCTGGATATTGCTAATCAAATACCATCACGTCTTCAGAAGGAAAAACGATGCTCCCTGCCCCCGACCCCGACCCCGTCACGAGACTTCGCTTGGACGAGCAAGCCGCGCTATTCGCTCATCGCGCACTGTGCCACCCTACCCACACCTGTCACCTCACCTCAACTCACCTTACCGCTTCTGGAAGTACACGGCTCACAAAGCGAAAACTCTCAAGAGCTCATGTACCCCGAATATTCAGAATCGTGATAGTGCTTTGCAAACAAACAACATCGATCGTTACTGGTGTGGTGTGGTGTGTTGGTGGTAGCCCATGACGGCGCACTCGCGCTGGTATAACCTTTTCACCGAGTGAATCTAGTCGTACTCGCGCTGAGGTACGTCTAGAAAGAAGTCTCACCGTTGCGCGTGTATGAGCTCCGAAAATTACTGCTCCTGCATTTACTGTCTGCGGTACAGATCTGTATGCAACGACTGATGGCATACTTTTTTTTTTCCCTCCTGCTCAGCCATACTTTTTTTTTCCCTACTGCTCCTGCATTTACTGTCTGCGCTACAGCATCCTGCAACGGCTGATGGGTTACTTTTTTCCTCCCTTTTCCTCTTTTTCTTTACGGAGGGCATACTCACCACGCCCAGTAGGACTTCTTTTTCTTTTTTTTTAATATACTTCCATCTCAATTACACTTCAAGAGTTCGAGGCCGGGGACCTCACAATTCAACCCGGAGCTATCCAGGCAGCCTCAGCCGGTTTAGCTTATGCAGGCCCTCTTATCTGAGGTAAGGGGATGAGGGTGGTGGGATAGCAGGTCAGGGTGATAGACAGTGTTGCATGAAGGGGATCTATGTTGGTGTGAAAGGTTGCACTCTGGGCTAATCCGTGTCTAGACTAACTAATCCTAGTGTCTGGGATGGGCAGGTAGGGAGTGGGGTTGGGGAGTAAGGGAAGGGGAGGGGGTGTACTGGGTTAATGTAAGGTTACACAGGCCTAATTCGACCCGGATCGAGCGTATTGTCCGCTTGTTGGACCTAATTACATAGGTCCGTCTATGCCTGGACACTTTGTAGCCTTGGCCTATCGCGACCCACAAACAGAGTGCACCTGGTTGGAGGAAGAAACGGACTCTCTACATCCTAGGTTTGTTACGGCCTATTAGTAGCTGAGTGACCTCTCTATTGTAATCAAGGTTGTGGAAGGAGAGACAAAGGGGAGACCTGCAGTGCAGGGAAAGAAAATTCTTGACCCGTTTGTCGTCTCATATTTCCAACCAACGGGATATAACCATTTTGCCTTCTACTGTCACCACCGCTAACTGATTGTCTCTCGCCCAGGTTACCAAAAACCACCTTCTGCCCTTCGGAGATGTGCCTCTTGCTGCCTTCCTTGCCCAGTCCACGACTATCAGCGTTCTGATCAAAGCTTTGATCTTCCTCTGGACTGCGATGTCTGAGGTCCACTTTTGGTCAAAAAGATGTTGTTCTTGTCTGTCCAAATGACCCAAAGTATCACTGAATGGATAGTTTGTGCTACATAACCCCTGCCTGTTCTTTTGAACCAGTGGTCTGGGATTTGTCCTCCCAGGACCCATGCTTCGTTCCACTGCAGTGCGTCACCTACGAAGTGAGTCCAGTGGTCATTCCACCATCTCCAGATCCAATTGGAGGCAGGACACGACCAAATAAGATGCAGCAGAGATTCCTCCTCTCTACCCCCATATCTTAAACATTTAGTAGGTAGATCCATCCCTTTTTCGAATAGCCAAACTACACAGGGGACGATTGTGTGGGTGAGAAGCCACAGAAAGGACGCAAATTTCAGTGAGGGAAGCATGTGCAGGTGAGACCAAACATCGTTGAGGTTAATGTTCTCAACAAGTGTTGGGTCTGCTGCTATTCTAGCGAGCCTTCTAGTTATCTTTGCGGTTGAAGTGGTAGGGTTAGCTAGGCTTTGCCTACCCACTGCCGTTGAGAAATCACAGAGGCAAACGACTCGCCCGGTATCTCATATGGTCATCTCTGCCAGCGGATCGAGTCTTTGCTGTGCCGAGTGGGACCCCCGCCAAGAGCAAGTTATGTACTTGTTTTCCTCGCCCCGTGGTGCTAGAAAGTACCCTCACCAACTCTAGAGGTCTTTCCATGGATAGACAGGTCTGCTTCAAATAGGTGAGTCTCTGTCTGTTCCCTACTGTTTGTTGTTGTGCCACCGTCCATTCCTGTGCACAGTAGTAGTCATCGGTCAATCTTTCCTCCAAATAGAGGATCTTGGTTGGTTTACTTCTTCAGTCCTTTGACTGCTTCGGGGCGTACCAATGTCCTTCAATTGGGTCCTCGCTACGCAGGAGGTCTTGCCAAGTAGGTGGGACTGCTGCTATGATTCGTCGTTGCTTCACGTAGTGTAGCCTGCCTAGTGTATCTCTTAGCGCTTTTTCCGAAAGCCAAGCCGATTTCTCCTGGTCCCAAAGGTCTGCTATCGTAAGTATCCCCTTCTCTGTCCATCTTCTCCCAAAGTCTCCCCTTGTTGCCGTAGCGGGGAAGGGTGTGCCATCTTCCTGACACAGAAGGCAGTTGTCGAAGAGTGATTGCATCAGCACCTCTTCTCTTGTTGCAGGAGACTTTGTGTGCTGAGAAAAGAAGCTTCTCCATGCCGACCAACATGATTTGAGGAGTGGCGAAGCTGACTGTCTTCTTACGTAGGATTCCATCCACAGGCAAGTCCAAGCATGCCTGGGCTGCTTGAGGTGGAAGTCCGTCTGAGCCATTCGAATACTGCAATCCAGCTTCTCCCCTCGCATTGCGTGCAAGCTTTAACAAACCATTTCAAGAGGAGGGAGAGGTTTTGAGCTACAGGATCGAGAACACCCAATCCTCCCTGTTGCCTTGGCTTGGTGATCTTGTCCCAGCCACACTTGGTGATGTACCCCTCCCCTTCCTCCGCTCCCGGCTTCCACAGGTATTGCGCCGCATCTCGTTTCAGCCATGTTGCTGTCGGCTTGGAGATCATATAAATTGCCGCAATGTACAAAATCTGAGCAAAGACCGCTGCGTTCAAGACTAGAGCCCTGCCGAAGAGAGACGTCCCTGTGGCTGCTCTGCAGGCCTGCAACTTTGCTCTTGTCTTAGTTGCAAGGATGTCGTCCTGATCCGGCCTTGCTGAAATGAGGGATACTTGAACCCCCAAATATCGTTCAGATGTCGCTGTCCTGATTCTCCGCATTCCCCAATCCTCCTCAAGCTCGTAGTCGTCCGGCAAAAAATAGAGAGATTTAGCCCAGTTCACTTGGGCCTAAGAGAGGGTGGAGTAAGCGTCCAGCTAAGACTTAATTTCTCGCATCGTGGTTGGTTCCGCTTCGGCCACCAGGAGGAGATCATCCGCTATAGCACCTGTCAACAGCACCCTGTCCCTGCCGAGTTGTAACCCTTTAATTATGGGCGAGGATCGCATGTTATTTAGCAGGACTTCCATCTGCACCACGAACAAGAGTGATGCCAACAGGCACCCCTGCCTGAGGAAGCGGGTTAAGGAGAACAGCGGGGATTGATGCCCGTTGACTATAACCATCCTCATTGTGTCCCTATACAATTATGTAACCCAGCGTCAATAGCACGGACCAAAATTCATATGTTCCAGCATTGCCAGAACAAAAGACCAGTTCACTCGATCGTATGTCTTTTCGAGCTCTAGCATGGTAACAACCACTTTTATGTTTTCCTTGTGTATTATCTTTAGTGCTCCCATTGTAGCGAAGATGTTCTCAGCAATCGACCGACCTTGTATAAAGGCGCCCTGGTCGGTGTGGATAAGTTTCGGGAGGAGGGGTGCCAGTCTTCTCACCAGGAATTTCGACAGTAGCTTATAGGACACATTTAGCCTGGATATGGGGCGAAAGTTTCTGATACTTCTCTTATCCCCCTTCTTGTAGATCAAAGTGACGACTCCCATCTTCACGTCGTCCGTCAGGTGGCCTCCCTCCAATATATGATTGTAGAGTTGCACTAACATAGGGATTATCTGGGCCTAAGCAGCTTCGTAGTATTCCACCAGGAGACCATCACTGCCTCGACTCTTTCCTTTGGCCATCGCTTTCCAGGCTTTTGTTAACTCTTCATAAGTCACCGGTCTATCCATTTGCAACTTCGCTGTCTCTGAGAGGGTCTTCGTGGTATGATCCCAGAGATCGTTCTCCGCCCTCAACAGCTTAAGTGAGAGGTTGGGTGGCCGCCTGAAAGTCAATATGTCCTGGAAGTATTCCAAGGCATATTCACCGATGGTTGCTGAGTCCGTAGCCATATCGACATAGAGCAGGAACGGGTGAAGCAACTCCCTTAGCAGCATGTGTGCCTTCGGTGGGCATACTCTCATAAATGTCTCTTTAGTCATGCGATCATCTGTCTTCACTCCTCTCTCTGCCGCTCTCTTGGCCCACAACACTTGATGTTCAATCTGCAACTTATCCCAGCGCTCTAGTGTTCGCTCTCTTCTTCTCTTCCAGTACAGTTCTACCAGGGGATCAGTTTCCAGAACATGCTTCGCTTCCTCTACCTCTCACTTACAGTCCTCCTCTTCCAGCCTCCGTGCTCGGACATATATCCTGGAGAAGACGTCGAGCGCCCTTGTGACAATTCGGAAGCCCATTTGTATCCAGTCCTCCTCTGTTGGCAAGGAGTCCCTCTGACGCTCCCAAAATACGTTACTCAATGTCAATTGCAGAAATAAAGAGGGAGTGGAAGAGAGAGACAACGGAGAAGGAGAGGTGGAATATAGTCGGGAAGAGGGAAGGTGACAGCGCATAGGAAAGGGAGAAGGAGCACCTGCGCACTGACGGATGCAAGGTGGAAGGCGAGCGGAAGGTACGGGCAGAAAGGGAGTATACACGTGGCATCTGTGTGGGAGATATGGGGTTGTGAGTGATACGAGAGACATACCTAGTGCTTGACGCGTGCGGCATTGGGCGAGATCTACTCGTACTTGGGAAGCTGTTGACGTCATCAGCGACATTGTAGTCTAGGCTAGATAAGATTTGCCATCAGTAGTCTGGCGCCGAACGCCAGATAGGATACCAACATTGGT